TCAGCACCCTGAAAACAGCTGCAAAAGTCCATACCAAAAAAACTTTTTTTTTATTGTTGTTGACCAGTGTTATCGACCAGTCACGTGTGTGTGGTCGCGGCAGCGATGATGGTGGGTTAAACCGTGGCTACTCCACATCTCCTCTGGGACGGTCTGCCCAGCGTTGGGCCTCTGTCCGAGAGATCAACCCACGCGGATGTCCTTGCCACGAGCAGTCGTGTTGTGGGTGAGGAATTGCAGGGGGTGCACCTTTATCTCTCTCTACATATATATCTATACCGACTATCGTCCCAAATTGTCAGGAGTTTGGTGATAAAGCTGCGCGAAATCATCGGCGCCGTGTCTGTTCTTTCGCGGGAGCAGCTTGTGTGTTTTTTTTCGTGTCCTATGCTCATGCCAAGTGGAGCACTTTCATTTATTTTGCTAAACATTCCCGTGGGCTCTGAGTGTATTATTACGCCGTTACGACCGCTTTTCAAATGCTCTCTGCGCGTCTTGCCTGTCCTAACGTCCTTGTCAAAAGGCGGTCCCCACCCCCCGCCACCGCCCTCCCATCCGCCCCCACGGGCTCTCACGCAATGTAACAACCACAACACAGAGGACGGAAACAACAACAACAACAACAACTGTTCTTCTTCTTGGTTCTTTCGGTAAAGTCACGTAGAAGGGAAATAATAAAATAATAAAAATAAAACATAATCGAATTATTCTCACGTTTCGGCCACAACGCAAGCAGCCGTCCTCAGGTGAAGAACAGGGCTGTCTGTGTTCATTCAGACACTGTTAACAGCACCTCGCTAACAGCACCTCAGGTGAAGAACAGGTCTGTCGGAAAGACATTGTCTGAATGAACACAGAAGACCTGTTCTTCACCTGAGGACGGCTGCTTGCGTTGTGGCCGAAACGTCGTGAGAATTATTTTATTATGTTTTATTGTTATTATTTTATTATTTCCCTTCTACGTGACTTTACCGAAAGAACCAAGAAGATGAATCCCTGCAGTCACGAAAGCTTCAAATCGAAACAACTGTTCTGCTGCACGCCACCCAGAACGAGTGGCGCGTTCGTTGGTGCAACGCGTGGCGACGGCGCGAGTTCAATTCCCAGCCACAGGTGGCGAGCGATGGCATGAAAACAAAAATAATAACCGGCCTCGCACTAAGTTGACTGGGCCTCAAATGTTAGTATCTGCCGCGGTGCGTGGACGCACGGAAGCGGTGGCGCGGTTGATAACTCACCGAGTTGTAAAACTGAGTTTGAATCCTGGCCACAGTAAAAAAGAAAAGAGACTAAAACGCCAGCGGCGAGTGAGATCCAAACAGGGCACTGGGTAAGTCGACTCTGCCTTAAGTTCGTAGCTGGGTACAGTGTGTAAATATCAGCAGTGGGGAGGCAAAGATGGCCAGGCGTGGCGAATACCTATTAGGTCAGGCCTTAATAGGTGCTCGCGAACAGCATTTGTCCCAACAATCTCGTGAAGGCTATATGGGTGGACCATTGCGTGTGTTGAGTCGGTGAGGGTTTGCAAACCTCCCTGGCGACCAGACTTAGAATCCCGGAACACGGCTAACGTCAACGGCAAGCGGTGTCACAACTTGCCGTTGGCCCCACCCCCCTAGGTCGACTCAGCCTTAAATGGGTATCTTGGTGCAGTGCGAAAGCATCAGCAGCTGGTGGTATTTGAGAGACTAAGGGCATTGGGGGTTCGTTGCTGAGCACACCATCCATCTAGGTTCCGCCCTTAATAGGTGCTCGCTAACAGCACCTGCCCCAACAGTTGTATTCGATGTAGTATAGACTACGTGACGGTGGGGTGGGTTGTGAAACAGTCATCGTTTGTCTTTCGTGCTCGTAGAAAACTAATAAAATACAAAGGTGCTGTGAGCGAGCACCTATAAAGGCCGCCTTTGTCTCCCCGGTGGCGATATTTTTACAAACCGCACCAGGTACTCATTTGATGCCGAGTCGACCTAGGGGAGACCCAGGACCGGTTCATGTAACTCGGGTGGCCGGTTTCGTAGCGCAGCGCGCTAACCGCTACGCCACCGCTCCCCGCACACAAGTGTAGAGGTGTAGTGGGTGACATCACGTCACGCTCGCCCTCGGAGAGAGTGGCAGTCGCAGAACATGACGTCAGGCGGGCCTTGGGGGACGGTGACGTCATGCTCCCAGGGGTGTATTTAAAGGGGGGCCCGGGATGTAACCAGGGTTCGTCGGGGGTAGGAGTGGGGACTCGGGTAGTTCATCCTCACACGAGGCTAGGGGAGCCTACTCCGCCCGACCGGCCGAGGTTGGGGTAGTCCTGGCCCGGGGCAGGGAGGAGAGCCGAGTTAGCCGGGGTGAAGAGATCCCAGTACCCTGTCCCCTGGGGAGTTTTCGGCTAGGGGTTGTTTTGGTTCGGCGTAAGCCCTTACTAAACCTGCCGTAGGTCATTAATAAACGTGGCGTGAGCCCCTAACAGAAACCTGCCTCGGAGTCGTGAATTGCGCTACAACACACGTACACACGCATTCACATTCAAGCCACCTTCATTGTTGTTGATGTGATCATCGTTCTTTTATCGCTCCTGGTGTTTGGTTATTTAAAAAAACACATCGGGCGATTCGTGCAGATGGCACTGTTGTTGCTGTGTTGCTGCTGCTGCGAAGCGCACGTGTTATTTATTTTGGCGAGCGCGAAGTTTTACGAACGCGCGGAGCTCACGCAAACGTTCGAACTTTTCGATTTAAAGCTTTCGTGACTGCAGGGATTCATCTTCTTGGTTCTTTCGGTAAAGTCACGTAGAAGGGAAGTAATAAAATAATAAAATAAAACATAATAAGAATTGTTTTATTATGTTTTATTTTTATTATTTTATTACTTCCCTTCTACGTGACTTTACCGAAAGAACCAAGAAGAAGGTTCGAACTTTTATTTAATCTCAGCCATCTGCAGACCGATGTCCCATAAGTGTGATTTAAAAAGAAGAAAAAGAGGGGGGACCGATTTTGCATTTCTTTTGAATCGCGTAATAATTTTATGCACGGGCAAAAAATAAATTATCGTTTTAAAAATGCATTAGTTCATTCATTCATCCCACGTTTTATTCTTCGACCGTGAGATACACAGACGTCGAGGCGCCGAGGGATGTTACTCAAAGTTCAAAACGACGGAAAACGAATTTGAATAGCCAAATAGACAGACGCCCACATTTACATTTGTCTCGGCAAACAAACAATATATTACAGGGAGCCGATAACCATCTGCCAAGTTACTGGCGTCATGACACGATTCAGGACGCTGGTGGGGAGAAACCGCAGAGGAGTCAAGAGCAGCACTTGGCTCGCGATCAGAAGGTTGCGAGTTCAAATGCCGGTCAGAGAGAGAGAGGGAGAGCTCAACTCAGCCGATCATTTCTTCGGTGTCGATTGAAATAAGTGCAACTTCGCGGGGGGGTGGGTGGGTGGGAGGGGAAGTCGGCAGCGGTTATCCGATGGATAAAGTCACCCCTGTCGTAGAAATGTGGATAATTTACAGAGCTGGCTCAGGGCTGTAAACAGGAGTCAATCGGTACGTAAGTTTGTATTTGAGGAATGCCCATTGAATGTTCATGGTGGCCTTGCTCAGGAGGCGAGTACGTTACATGAGAAGGGAGCGTTTACATGGGCTGCATAGAACAAAAACAGTTTATAAACATGACTCTTAACCAACCAGAACTATATCAGTGGAAAGTCCAGTAAGCCATTTAAAATCAAATTATGCATGACACAAGTGAGTGGCATTTAAAACTTATTTTTTACAAAAGCGACGATTGTAATTGCGTGTGCTATCTTGAAATGTAAGTCTTTACACAAAATGCCATTCTGTAGTTCCGGTCACAAATGGCTTCGCTAACGGCATTATCACAAAGTGTGAATGCAGTGGTCATTACCAAGCAATCAGTGCATCTCAGATAGAGATGCCAGGATGATAATATAGAAATTCCGTGACCATTGCAGCAAGTGAACACCACGCTAACATTGAGTGGGAAACCCTCGACGTCACAGCATGTCGTCGTCGTCAGTTGGCCGCTATCCACTGCTGGATGAGTACGGCCCCATGCTGGTACAAATACTCTGCGTGAGTCGTGATTCTCATAGTCTTCGGTTTGTTTCGTTCACTTTATTTCGATGTAAAGCTTGCGTGACTGCAGGGATTCATCTTATTGGTTCTTTCGGTAAAGTCACGTAGAATGGAAATAATAAAATAATTCTCACGACGTTTTGGCCACAACGCAAGCAGCCGTCCTCAGGTGGGGAACAGGTCTGTCGAGAAGACAGAGTCTGGGGTGTGTCATTCAGACTCTGTCTTCTCGACAGACCTGTTCTCCACCTGAGGACGGCTGCTTGCGTTGTGGCCGAAACGTCGTGAGAATTATTTTATTATTTACATTCTACGTGACTTTACCGAAAGAACCAAGAAGATTCGTTCACTTTGTTGTGACTACAGCATCTCTCGTGGCCGCAAGAGTCACGTGATCTAAACACGTGGACAACACACAATTTAGAAGCCTTCGTCAATCCGTTGCTAGAGGAATGCCTCCACAAGCCGCGTCGCTCATGGCGGGGGGGTCGTTGGACCGTACTTCGTCAAAAAATTGTCAGTGAGGGTTGGTCAAGCGGAGAGTCCCAGGACCTGTTCAGGTATCACTCGGCACTGGTGTTGGCCGGAAATCGAACATAGGTCGCCGGCTTCATCTCAGCCTCGTTGCTGTCACGTCATTGAACCCTCCCCACCCCTCCAAACAAAAACCCCGAAGTTTTTCTATCGATAAAACTAGAGAGACTGTGGCCGCTACCGCCTTGGAGATGGAGCGACGAATTACGCCCGTGCGTCAGGCTGCTGGATGCAGTCGCGTAATTTAGACTGCGACGGATAGCGAAAGGCGCGTCGCGAGGCGTTCATCTAGCAGTGGATTGACCACGACTGGCTGCTGCTGCTGCTGACGATGATGATAATGATGATGATGTGCGCGTCCTCAGATCCGCGTGGACGGGGCGTGGGAGGGCGGAGCGGTGCTCTACGACGAGCTGCGCGCCTCGCCCGGGGAGCCGCTGCTCCGCGACATGGCGTTCGCGCCCGACCGCCGCCACCTCTACGTCCTCTCCGCGAAGCAGGTGAGAGCCCCCCACCCCTGCAGCCCCCCCCCCCTTGCCCCTAGCACCTACCCCCAACCCTTCTCCACACCCCCCCCCTCCCCATCATGCCCGCCACCCTGAACACGTGTGGCGATTTTAAAAGTGTACCCAATACCCCCCCCTCCCACCAGGACCACACATAGCACGTGTGGCGCTTTTAAACTGCACACAAGAAGCCCCCCGCCACAGCCACCACTAACACGCGTGGCGCTTTTAAAAGTGTACCCAATAACCCCCCCCCTCCCACCAGGACCACACATAGCACGCGTGGCGCTTTTAAAAGTGTACCCAAGAAGCCTGACCGACCCCCCCGCCAAAGCCACCCCTAAAACACGTGGCGCTTTTAAAAGTGTACCCAAAAAGCCCGAACGCCCCTCCCCCCTCCGTCAGGACCACACATAGCACGCGTGGCGCTTGTAAACTAAACTATTAACTTGTTTTACTTTACCAGGGTAAGGCCCACTGAGCCTATATAGCAATTGTTCAGAAGCGACCTGGCCACAAATGATCGCTCAACGAAGTGGCTTATCACGTGGAAACGTATCGCAGCCAAATACTTCACACACGCCCGGGAATCGCTCGCTGCATCTGCATCACGTCCTCTGCAGTGAACCCCGCTAGATGTGTGGAGCGGTGGCGCAGCAGTTAGCACACCGCGCTGTGAATCCCGGCGACGCGAGTTTGATTTTCCGGGCGACGGCTAACATCGGTGGCGAGTGATATCTAAACCGGTCCTCGCTTCATCAACACGCGCTGACCAGCTCTGCTGAAGTACGGTCCAACAACTCCCATGACCGACACGGCATAATTGAGGCCTTCTTGCAGCAGCTCATTGACAAAGGGCTGTCAATTCCTCTCATTCATGTTTATGTTTCATGGGTGCACTCTGTAAATGTGCAAATGACGTGCCCTCCCCACTCACTCTGTACCTCCTGAATTTGCCTCTCCACCCTCATCTGAGTGATTAATTGCCCTTACTTTACCCTGTCCTTGCCTTCGCTCCTAGTTAAAGCCCCCGGGATTCCCAATTAATAAGGGTTTCAGTGAAGGGGATGTTTCAGTAACGCTTCTGAAAGCCACTTCCGATGCGGTTAGCCCAAATCCTTGTTGCCAATTAAATTTCCTCCGCTCCCTCCGCCACCTCCCTCTATCCATCCTCACTCCAAAACAGGAACAACGAGAGAGAGATAGAGAAACATCTGCCACATGTGTCATCTACACGACCTTCATCGGCACCGTTAGCCTTGATCTATCCACTGCAGGATGAACGTATACTTAAGCGTTACACTGCAATCTACAAGCGACCCGTACTTTATTCAGTCACGTGTGATGATGTGGGTTTTGTGTTAGACCGTGGGTCTGGTGTTCGTTTGTGGGTTTTTGCATTGGTCTATAGACCCTGTGTTAGTCTATGGATCAATGATCGTCGATGGTTTCTGTGTTAGTCTAAGGATCATGTGTTATAGTATATTGGTCCAATGTTAGTGTATAATCTCTGTGTTAAACAATAGGTACTGAGTCAGTCTATGGGTTCTGTGTGAGTCTCTGAAAACCGTGTAAGTCTACGGGTCGTTATGTGTAGAGTCTATAGGTGATACAGCTCGCATGGAAGTTTGTAGATCATACACGGCGTTTTTATTCTATCATGTAAGGCCCACTGAGCTATATAGCTTTCTTCAGAAGCAACAACGCCACATATGATAGCTCAACGAAGTGGCTTACCATGTGGAAATGTGTAGCAGCCAATACTCTAAAACGCGTGTTTCGAAATGTGTAAAGGGGAAAAAAACGGAGGACCGCCGAGAAAAATCGAGGTGACCACGGGCCAGAGAGACACGCCAACTACAAATTAACAGGCGTCAGGGTCTGGATCAGAGGTCACGGGTTTTGATTCCTTACCCGTACCCGGCCGCACCAGGGTCGCAAATGGGTACCCGTACCTTCCCTACCCGTACCCGTACCCTACCCGAAATGAGTGACAAACGGTTACTCACCAGTGACTCACGGTCTACCCGTACCCGTACCCGGCCGGGTACGGGTAGCCGGGTATCTGGTAGGGTACGGGTATCGGGTACCCGGTTGAGACCTCTGGTCTGGATCGAAACCACGACCTCCTGCATACCAGGCGAGGTAGTTAACATCTCCTAGCCACGTGCAACCGCCTGGTCTCCCGGCTCTGGACAGCGGCGGCTAACCGTACACCGCGCTGCCCTCTCAATTAATGTTGCTGGAGACAAAGGGGACCCTTGGTCCACTTCACGGCCATCGATCGATCGGGGGGGGGTCTGTTGGAGGTGGGGGTGGGGGCAAGTAGGACGCGTCACTGCAGTGCTTAACAACTCGGGCTGCAACTGCTGAGCTGGCCACAATTTACTGCATTGATTTTAGTTTTCTTTTTAAACTGTTGCAAATTTTGTCGAGTACCTCGACCCCTGCCCCCCGCCCCAACAATGTGTGTGGGTTGCTCGCAGAGCAGTGCGTGGCGTGTGCGGGGGAGACCTTCATCCAGCACTGGATTGAGCAATTGTACCTGATGACGCAGAGCCCTCTCGGGAAGAGCATCAGTCGAATTGTGACACTTCCACGTCGAGTTTTTCGACACAGTCGCCCTGCATATTAACACTCGCGCGGCGTTAATGAAGAAACGAACGTCTCGTAAAAAAAAAAAACCTAAATCCTTTCAAAAATATGTTTTGGTCGCTAACGAACAAAAAAAAACAATTCCGGGCCGCTGTGATTAATGGGGAGGGCAGCGGAGTGAGGGTTGGGGGGTTATAGGCCACGTCCGGTGCAGCCGCGACTCTGAGCGGCTGCACCGATGGGAGAGGCAAGGGGGCCACGCTGGGGGGATTGGATTTGCCGAGCGAGAGAGGCCGGATTGTTTGTCGCCTGCACCGCGGCGCGCCTCCGTGATTGAACGGAACAGGCCAATACGGGGCCCGTTTAAGTGAATTCTTCCCTCCTGCAGCTGACCCAGGAGCTGACATCGCAGTTAATGTTTTCCGCGAGATGTTAGGGCGGTGAATTCGGAATCAAGCGTGCGCGCTTGTGACAGCGTGCGCCGGTGCGTGCGTGTGTAGGTGCGTGCGGTGCTCGCTAACAGCACTTGGCCCCCATAGCCTGTTAAAGGCTATACGGGCGATCTTTGTCTTTGTGGTGTGTGTGTGTGTGTCGTGCAGTCGTTCGCGCGCTGCGCTGCAAACCCGACCGACCACCCGCGTTTAATTCCTGCTCATGGTCAACAACACCGGTGGCGATTATCTGAACCGGTCCTGTGCTTTACTTAGGTCGACTCAGTCTCAAACGAGTACCTGGTGTGGTGTGTAAACATCGCCACTAGGGAGACAAAGGCGGCTGGGCGTGGTGCTGGCCTCCCACCCCCCGTGTGCCGTGCCGGCCTTCATCGGTGCTAGCTAACAGCACTTGCCCCAACAGTTTGTTGAAGACTATAGGAGGTCTTTGTGCTGTGCGTGTGTGTGGGGGGAGTGGAAGTTTATCGGTTAGCGAACTGTCCTACGAACCCAACGACCCGCGTTAGATTCCCGTTCACGACTCAGCCTCACTATTTGGTCCGGCGTTTAGAACAACTAGCACTGGCGAGACAAAGGTGGTGTTGACCATCTTTGTTTCCCAACATAGTTTCATGGGAATGTGCTATTTCTGAGCGCTTAATGGTAGTAGGAATAATAAGGATGTTTGTTTACCCGGGGAAGCCTCACAACGTCAAAACATTGTTTCTGAAGAACGGTCCAGATTCTGGTTGTTTGGCCAATTCCATTCATAAGTGTCTGGCGTGCGGGAAGAACGGCGGATAACCTCGCGAGAAAACCACGCGCGTGCGACGGGGATAACACTGGAAGATGAACAAGGACATATTGAAGAATGCATCTCCTGTACCGCCAAAACACCATTGATCTCTTGGCCACCTCGCAAACGCAAGCGAGAAAGAGAGAGAGAGGGAGGGCCTCGTGCGGACATTCGCGCGCTCGTGCCCGTGCACACGGGCGGCATTAATCAGACCCGCCCACAGCTAACAAGCGCAGCAAAAACAAACAACCGCATTTAGACAAAGGCCCAGGCGAAGAATGAATTTAACGACTTAATGCATTGGACGCACTTGCGTTTTGTCACCTATCAATCGAGTCGTTCACTTGAGCGCGTGTTTACTCCACGGATAACGAGGCCTGACTCATTACTGACGCACTTTGCGTTTTCTAAAACAATACCGGGCACCGCTCCCTCGTAATATCATAATATTTGTTACTTTTCGGAAGCTGCCCAGCGCACGAAGGAAATGTGCTAATGGAACGAGGCGGTGCGTAGCCGTTGCATGTGTGGGTGAGGCTCTGCCGACGAGAGAATACGCAGAAGGGGAGGGGGGGTCGAGCGAAGAGAATGTTTGTAGGATGTGGGATTTAGTGGGGGTGGTGGTGGGGGGGGGCGCAGTGCGGGGGCAGGAGAAGAGGGGCGATATTTCACTTGGTAGATGAGAGCGTGACCCCCTGTTCTGCTGGTCGTATTTAACCTGTGACCTCTGTCTTTTAAACAGCTTGACCTCCGACAAAGGACTTTGACTTCGCCGCCCCCCCCTCTCTCTCCCCCACGACCTCCAGCCGTTGAAAATTGCACCCGTTGAGTCATTTCCCCAACAGTGGAGCGAATATAAATATAGAAAATAAAAATATGGCTTTTCAGTGGGGGGGGGGGGGGGGGGGGGGGTATCCAGTAAGCAATTTGTCAAACGGAACGGGTCAAGTGCCGCGTATTTTAGGAGTACGCGAGACGTGAATCGTTTTACGTTTCATCGGAGCAAAACAAATTTGAATTGTTCATTCATAACGAGATTACTATTGCTCGCGCGATTTTTTTTGTAAAAAATATATATATTTAATCCGATGCAACATTTCGCCACATTTTTCAACATCGGCGACTATAAATACGCGCGAGTGATTTTTTTTCTTTTTTCTCCCCGGGTATGG